AAAAAAAAAAAAAAAAAAAAAAAAAAAGAGCAGACCCTCTTGCATTCCTGGCTTTCTTGCCTGCAGCAAACTTAACCCATGTTGCCCAAATGGCTAACCCCTACACTCTCCAAGTCACTGTTCTCAAGTAGTGGTGCTGGACTTGGCACAGACACACAGAGCCCTCTCTGCTGCATGTGAACCAAATTGCTCATGGTGGCTGAGTACGGGTCTGGTGCTGCAATCTGAGCATTTGGCCAGTTGGCCATCATTATTCTAATGTCTTTGTTTCCTTTTTTTAATTCACCCTGGTAATTTCTTTTTTCCTCTGTCTTGTCCCTGCTACTCTATAGTGTTGTTCACTTAACACACTATACACCTCATGTTTAACACAAGCAAATAAACACTACAGTAAGCCTTTGTTTCACTACTGTCTCAACATTGTCTACAACAATGCACAACATATAACAAATGTTTCAAGAATAAAAGGTGATTCACCTAAGACCCCTTAGCAAATATTCAACAAAATTGTACAGGCTAGATGAGTTCTCATGAGTTAAAGTTTAATCTACTGGAATTATAAAATATACCAAACAAGGGCTGGCCAAATAGCTTAGCGGATTAAAGAGCCTGCCTGCTTAGGCAGACATGGGGGCCAGGAGTTCAATCCTCCAGGCCTGCAGTGCTGGTGCCCCTAGGGCATGCTGAGAGGCTATTGAGACTGGGCATGGCGGCCCATGTCTGTAATCCCAGCACTTGGGAGACTGTGAAACAGGATCATGAGCTGGTGAGATGGCTCAGTGATCTAAAGCATCTAGAACAAGCTTAACTAAAGCACAGGGACCACGGTTCAATCCCCAGCACCACATGCCAGCCAGTCCTGCCCCCTGGTGGGCTGAGCTGGCCACACACACACACACACACACACACACACACATAAATAAATAAATAAAATTTTTTTAAAAAAATTTTTCAAAAAAACAAGATCACTACATCTCATCTACGTAGTGAGACCCTGTATACCCTGTCCTAAATACAAAATATATAAATAAGCAAATCAAACAGTGCTATATCAGTAACTATTCTTTTTCAATAATGTAATCCCTTTCTATTTACTATTCACTGAGAATGGGGTAAAATACTGCACCCAGGCTGTAATACACAATTCTCTTCTCTGTTTAGAGTAATCTGCCTACATGAAATTAAGCTTTATTTTAATTCAAAGCTTAAGTTCTAAATCACAGTGCAGTTATACCAGTTTGAGCCCAGACTGAATTTCCAATGCAGTATTCAGAAAATACCTACATAATGAAATACTTACAGTAGTCATAAGATGCTCTGTAATGGATGCTATTTCTTGCTGTTTCTGAAGCAACAACGGCATTCCCATCTCCAGAGCAGTGGCTCCACGCAAATGTACCTTTTGTGCTGAATGAACCACTAACGGTATGACAAGTTTTGCCCATCTAACTGACTCTTCTCCCATTTGAATTGGGGCCTGTTCAATTAACCTGTGAATAAGAGAAATCAATGCCTACATTAGGCTGGCCTCACTTTTTAAGTCACTACCAAGAAAAAAAAACCAACCAGAAATTTACACAACTGTAACAGAAGACCCTTTTGCACTCAACACCTATTTCTTTTAGAACATATACGTTATACACGAGATCAAACTTTTACATTCTAACTTGTATACTCCTGTAAAGTATCTAGAATTTGGGGGGGGGGCCTGAGGTAGGACTGTCCCAAGTTCAAGACTAGCCTGGGGGCTAGCCTGAACTGCATAATGAGATCCTGTCTCAAAAAACACAAAACAAAAAATCCTTTATAGAAGACAGCCAGTGAACCATGATATAAGCACCAGAACACTAAACAGCTCAACTGAAGAAAACTTTGAAAATGAAACAGCTTGCACTGTTAGCTTGATAAGAGAGTAGGGTAGGATAAGAATGTCAGATTTTCCTGTCCTGTGACAGGCACTCTGGACACTGTCTTTCTAAGCAACCCCCTAGTCCAATTACAAATTTGTTTTTGTTTTTTTTCTCTCTGAATGCCTTCAGGGCAGGTTTGGCTGGCTTGAGTTGTAGGGATGAACCGCAGCAATCTGAGCCTGACTGCTTTGTTGAAGCAGCCACTTAAAGAACTGAGCTAAGGGGCAGGCCCCCCAATTACAAATTTGTACTTCTTCATCTTGTTTTTTTTTTTTTTTTTTTGGTGAAACGGGGGATTGAACCCAGGCCCTTGCACTTATTCCACTGAGACATCTCCCTAGCCCCTGTACTTTTTTAAACTCTTGTAAAAACTTGAGCAGAGAAGTTTCAAACAAGAACTGCCTTTTATCAGCATAACATAACCAAGACTTTACTTTTTAAGATATCCCAGTAAAAATAAAATTCAGCAATTTATTGACATTAACATTCATCTTCCTGTTACCTTTTTCTTTTAAACTGTGTGGTTTAAAAGATATTCCCTTTTGAGGGCCTGCCCATTAGCTCAGTTGTTTAAGTATCTGCTAAAAAAAAGCACTCAGGCTCAGCATGCTGTGGTTTGATCCCTAGATCCTCATGCCTTACCAGTCCTGCCTTTAAGGCATGCTGAGCCAGCCCCCTCCCCAAAAATATCCTTCTAAAAGATATTCCCTTTTAATATCTATTGTACATTTAAATTCCAAAAGTCAGCTAGGATGCAGTGCCGTGATGCGATCTCTGCCTTGCATGTGCAAGGTCCTGGGTTGAGTCCCCATTACCACAAAATATAAATCCCTAAAGTCCAATTCCTAAAGCAATTTTAATTTTATTTTTGCTTTCTTGAGAGAGGGTCTTGCTATGTATTTCAGGTAGGCTATGAATTTACTGTGTAGCTCAGTCTTTAACTGGAGATTCTCCTGCCTCAGCCTCCTGAATGCTGAGGTTATATAATTTCTACAATTATAGGTGTGTACCACCAAGCCTAGGTGTATCCCTTAAATTCTACACAGGAAAACAATTACTTCAATTTACATAAAATCCAAAAGCATACCTTATGATAACATTTAATGCTTCAAAATCAACAACAGCAGAATGTATCTCTCCTTTATTAAATACTATTTCTAATGAGTCAATTATACTGGACACCTAAAAGACAAAACCAAATAAATACAAATCAAATAGACTAGATTTCTTAATTGGCATATAATTAAGATAAGCAGAAACTATACTCACCATTTTGCCAACAACTTCACTGGGAAACGTCTGTTTGGATATTACCCAAAGAGCCCTGGTACGTACATTTTTGTCTGAACTTTTAACAGTATCATTCAATTCTGAAAGCAGTTCTTGAATATTTGCTTCTAAAAAACAAGTTACAATTTTAATTATTGCAATACTTTACAACTGTTTAAAATCTCAAATGGTAAAGTAAACAACATACTGTCCATTCAAAAAATTAAACACACACCAAAAGAAGGATCAGAGAACCAGTGCCAATACAAACAATTCAAAAATACAAAACACAAAGCAGGAGAAAAGTGCTTTCAGAGAAAACAAACTTACAGGGTCTAAGTAGACAAGTAGTACAACTGAAATAACTGTAACTAAGAACATTAAGACCATTTTCAGCAATGTTTAAATCCCACAACTGCCTGGCATAGTGGCATATGCCTGTGATCCCAGGACTCAGGAGGCTGAGACAGAAGGATTGCTGAGAATTCAAGGCCAGCCTGGGCTACACAGTGATTTAAGCTCAGCCTGAACTACACAGCAAGACTGCTTCAGGAAAATAAATACAATTTTGCTCTAAACTGAACTACCTGGGCCAGGGAGATAGCTCAGTAGATTAAGCACTTGCCTGGCAAGCACAAGAATAAAATTAAGTTAAACAGATAAATAAAATTACTTTAGGTTGTTCTCACTTCCATACATAAAAAAGGGTAAACACAACCTTTCATTCAGGGAGAAAAAGACAACTTCTTGATTTCCTCTGAAGATGACCTAGATTTCCTTTACAGTGACAAACTATATAACAGCGTCACTTCAAATATGGAGGCTATCAGGTTCTGCACTGTCAATCCCATTTGCAGTTCTAAATTATGCCAAATTTACCACCACTGTAACTTTTGAATTCAGCATGCTCCTTAGGACACATGCCTGAATAATCAGGTAATTAATTACTCCCTTCCAAATTAAAACATGCTAACAGCCAGGTGTGGTAGTACACGCCTGCAATCCTACCACTCAGGAGGCTGATGCAGGACTGCTTTGAGTTCAAGACCAGCCGGGGCTACAAAGTGGGTTGAAGGTCAGCTTGAACTGCAGAGCAAGACCCTGTCTCAAAAACAAACATACAAAGCAAAATAACAAAAAACCCACATGCTTTCTTTAAAAACTTCCCTTTTCCCCCCTTACTTATGTATTTGGTACAGGGTCTCACTACGCAGCCCGGACTCATAGTGATCCTCCTGTTTCGGGTTACAGTCTTTTGCCACCACACCTGGACTCAGTGGCTGGCTCAGAGCACCTTGGGGTCGAGGCCAGCGTGACAGGTGGAAAACCTTCCATGTTTATAGCAATATCACATGTACTTGGGTTGAGGACTGGGCCTAAAGCTTTGTATGTAAACTCTATCACTAAACTATAATCCTAGCATACGATCATGCTTAAATAACATTTTCTACACCATACTTTATAATGCCAGCCTGGAAGATAGCTCAGTAGTAGTTCAATCCCTGGTACCACACACACACACAAAAAAAAAGTACATATAATGCCAAACTTAGAACTGTGTCTAGGAAACGATAATCTAAATATAATATATATAATTATTTCTTTCTCAAAAGCAAATCCTAGTCCGGGCATGATGGTGCACACCTGTAATCCCAGCACTAGGGAGGCTGAAAACAGGAGGATCACTGTAAGTCTGAGCTACATAGTGAGACCCTGCACCAAAAAAAAAAGTGAACTCTAAACTATAAATTACAAAACTAATCCAGAGATAACAGTACTTCTAACACATTATAGTTTAAGCTTAACATTACTGATCATAATAAATTTATCTACCTGATAGTCCGGAAGTAATTTTGGGATTATATAAGCAAAAGCCCAAAGCCTGAAGAGCAGCACTACTCAGTTCTGAATTTTGACTGGAAATGTGAGCCTATAAAAACAAAACATTTATTAAAAAGAAGTACAATTGTAAAACCATTTTTAGAAATCAAGTCAATTACAAAATAGCCAGTTCATTACATTTACTATAATCCATAAACAACCCTTTGAGTATCAGTGAAAAGTATTAGGTAGCAAACTATATAGCTTAGAGGAAAGTTTAGAGAAAGAGAGGGAACTAGACAAAAATAACTGAAAGAATATTTAATGTTAACATTAACAGATAAAAGAACACTCATGTGAAAACACACAAAAAAAAAGCCAGCAGATAAAAGATATTAAAATTATTAGAAGGGAAGGAAAAGAGAAAAGACTCTTCAGGAGGAGTAAGCTGATCAAATGCAAAGTCAACGACCATGCATTCTTAGTGCCAACAGACACCTTTACACAGGCTGTGAGCTGGGAGATCAAAGGGGGGTCAGAATGTAACATTTATCCCTAAGTATATGCAATGTAGTAGGAATTTTAGCATTCCATCGTTTTTTGTGGTACTGGGATTGAATCCAGGGTATTCTCTTTGAGCTGTATCCTCCGTCATTTTTTAAAAATTTTCCTAACAGTATTTTGTTAAAATTGCCAGGCTAGGCTTAAATCTGCCTCAGTCCCCCAAGTGATGAGACTCTAGATAAAGCCTAAATTCTGGAATTACAGACATGACCACCACACCCAGAGCTCAGAGTACCTATTCAGGAATTAAGGAAAACCAAAGATCAAAACTGTATGAAAGAAATCATAGCAATGTGTTCAGACAATTAAAGCTAAGACTGAGACCTCATACTCTATGTCTTGGACAAAAGGTAGCATACGGCTGTGAATTCTTTTTTCCACTACTGGGACTGAACCCAGTGCCTTCACATTGAACTACATTCTCAGACCCTTTCCACTTTGAGACAGTCTTACTAAATTGTCAAGTCTGGTCTTGAATTTGTGAACTTCTTGACTCAGTCTTCCAAAGAGCTAGGATCATACAGGATGTTATATATCACCTTTTATCAAATTGCCTTGCAAACATGAACAGTGGGTTATAACCACTATGAATTATATATAACCCTAGCTAAAGAGTAGTCAATCTTATCCTCAAAAATGTTATGGGTAAGCCAGGCATGGTAGTACAAGACTATAATCCCAATACTGGAGAAGCTGAGGCAGGAGGATCACCATGAGTTCATAATGAAACCAATAAACAACAAAACAAAACAAAAAAAAGTTATGGGTGGACTAGGGATATAGCTCAGGGTAGAGTACTTACCTCCCTGAAGCCCTAGCTGCATTCACCAGCACCACAAAAAACGAATTTAAAAAATAACAACAATGGTAAAGTCCACAGGCAATCCTAGCAGAATTCTAAACATTAATATACAAACATTTAATGTTCTATTTTACCTAATGAGGTTCCTATTCTGAAGAAATCCAATTTTCTTTACTTTCCATGTAAAACATTGTTCTATTACTAAACTTCCATGTACTTCCAGATAATTCAACAGAATTTTATATACAAACCTATTTAAAAAAAGCGCAACTTGACTCAAAATTCATGCAACAGGGTGTCTGATCCCATATGCTCTCAAAATTAAGTACTGTACATGAAGGTGGATGTCTTCACATCAAATACACTGCTAGAATGTGCAATATAATGATGAAGGGAACTAACATTATGTAATAATACTATTAAATATTACACAACAACCTCTTTATGTAAAGCTGTTGTACTATTTTAGCAATACTTAAGCCAGCACCTCAAATGCTTTAAGGTTTACAGACAGAAATTACACTAAAATATGCAATATTTATTTGGTACCCCTAAATTCAATCTAGGGCTTTGTACACACCAGGTATGTGCTATACCTGTGAGCAATAGCCCCAGCTCACACAAAGAACATTTTAAAGAATATTTGGTTCAACTATAAAAACACAGCCTCAAAGGCAAAATACTGAGATGGCTCACAGACTTACTTTACTTAACCTTTACATTCTAGAAACAGACGATTGCAAAGCTAGGTGTGCCAGGTATGGTGGCACATACCTGTAAACCAAGACCTAGAAGACTGGGGCAGTAGGACTGCCAAATTCAAAGCTGGCCTGTCTTACACAGAAAATCCTATCTCAAAACAGAACAAAAATGTTAAGTGTCAGGTAAGTAAGATCACGAAGCCAAGTAGTCAAGTGAGAAGACTGGTTTGAGTTTAAACTACAAGAGATGGGGCCGGGGAGATGGCTCAGTAGAATAAGCACTTCCCTGGCAAGCACAAGGGCCTGAGTTCAATCCCTGGTTCCACACACACACACAAAAATAAAATAAAATAAAATAAACTACAAGAGAAAGATTAAATTAACAGATTTCTAATCAGAAATGGAAAACACACAAAAATTAGTATGAATGCTTTCTACAGAGTATAGCAAAGGTTAACCAGTTTAGAATCACACTTACTTAGTACTGTACCTTTCCAAAAGGAAAAATAACAGATTAATCTTTGACCATTGCATTCAAAATAAAAAACAGGATTTGCATTCAAGTAACCCTGGGCAACTTAAACCAATTTCTTCCTCTGCAAACCGAGAATTAAATAGTAAATTTTGGGATCAGGGATGCAGATTAATGGCAGACCACAAGCCTTGTAATGTTTGAGACCCTGGGTTTCATCCCTACTGCAAAAAAAAAAAAAAAAGTGTAAAACTCAAATTTGGAAAACTGAGAAAGTAAGCAAGGTAATCTGAAAACCTTCTAAGTAATCGATATGAAGTATGGGTCAGCTAGGTGGTTTTAATGCAAAACACAAAAAACTACTCAATACAGACCTTTAAAACTTTGTACAGCCGAGGAAGGTTTTTCTCCATTTCTAAGATGACTTCTTTTCCTTCTTCTCCAGTCATCCGACTTAAAAAGCAACAGAACATTTGCTTAAGCTAATGAGAAACAAAAACTGCCCAAAATACTATTTACGCTTTCAAGGATGACTTTAAAATTTTCAAAAACGACCAAGTGACTATTAAGATAATTGAGGAATACATAACGCAATCTATTATCTACATAAAACTGATAATAAACATCAGAATGAGTTTTTGCCTCCACAGCAAATTCCAGTTTTGTCAGTCTCAAAAGGTAGAAATGGAACGGAAATCTCTAACCCTACTTAGAAATCTGCTGATCACGTAAGACCCTTAATAAAAATTTAGGAGCATTTTATAGCATTTTGCAATTACAACAACGAAGTGAGAACTAGGTTGCCATTTCCCCAATACAAGAGGAAAGGAGGTATTAAAAGCCGTGCTTCCCACCACTTTCAGTCGGTTTTTGAGGGGCGTAGAGGTGAACAGGGGTCTCCTATGTAGTGCAGCCGGGCCTTGAACCCACGTCGCTTAAGTAGCCTAGGCTGGCCTCGAACTCAGTGATGATTCTACTCCGCTTCTCTAGTGCTGGGATTACAGAAGCGCTCCACAACGCCGGGCTTCAGGGAAAACTTTTAAATTTAATTCCGCCTCGCTTTCAAGACACACGTGCGGACTCCATCCAAATAAACACTTCCGACGCCGCAGCGACGACCGGGAGCCCCACGCAGCACACATGCGCCCTGCGCGCCAGGACGTCCGCGACCCGGGGTCCGCACGCCGCCGCGCGCCCGCGCCACCGCGG